AAGCGTTCACTCGCTTTTGGTCAGGTTTTCAGCAATATGGCGAAAAAAAAAATAGACTCAGTCTTGAGTTTTGGAGTAACATCGACTCGCTCGAATTAGCCGAGAAAGGGTAAAAGGAGTCCCTGTTGGAGCCCTACTGCCGAAGCTGCCGAGGCACATAAACGTGAAGTCTTCTAGCTGATCCAATTATTACGACACTGCTCTGAGAATCCAAGACCTCCCTCAGCTGTCCTGAGGACTTCAATGATGACCACCTACTACTGTTTTCCCCTTCGGTTCAGGCCACAGGATGACAGCATCGGCCATGCTGATTGTGCACTGGGCAAGGCAAGTCGGACCAAACCCTGATCTGTGCATCTGCTACGTTGTGAGCAAGATCGTTGTTTAAAGAGGCACTTGAATTGCACAGGACTTGATAACGCTCTCTATCGGGTGATTATTATCGGTAGAAGACATGTTAATTATAAAAAGTATTTAACAGTGCAGCGCCCTCACGACAACTGTTGGAAAGAGGTCCTGACCTAGACAGCTGAACTATCGTAAAGAGACGGTTGCAGGTCGGCAGGATTTACTCAAAAGGTTCGTAGCCACTACTGCAGTGATAACCATTCAGGGAAAATAAAGGACGTACGATTGCACAGTTTCTTCAAGTGTGTGATGGAGGCCAGACTGGAAATGGAGACGCCCTTTTCTGAACCCTTGAAACGAGAGGTCACTTCACGTGCTTTCCTCTCGACAAACTCCGCATAAACTTGAGCTTGGATAGGGACTAGACGACAGCATACAACCTGTTCAACTGAATGTGAAATAATGACGACGGTTAAATGGGGGAGGTGAGGAAAACTGTGATACGTAAAAATAGTAAATAATACGCAAATAACAGTGCTATCAACAGCCTGAATGTGGTACGAACAGACAATGTGCCTCTAAGGCTTTTTTGAGAAAACCAAGAAACTCAATTGAAAGCGAATGAGGTAATTTGCGGAGGAAGTAAAACGCGAGCAATTCACTAGCTAAATTACAGCGTTGAAATTTCGAGCCTTCGTCTTCTCCGAAGAGGCAGATAGCTACATGCTTCGGGGGTAAGGCAATAGAGAGGGAAGAGACAGTATGGTTGATGCTGCGGGTAGTCGACTGTCACTTAAAACCTAATTCGCGCTCAAGTCACTGCACCAACCTGTTTGGAGCATAACGGCTACTCACTAGTTAGCACCTGCCTGTGTCTGCTGGTCTGCGTCATCCGTACAGCAACAACAACCAACCCAGCATGACCAATATGTTTGTCCGATCACTTCCGTGGAGGAAAAGAAAGCTTGTAAGTCCCTAGTCCCTACTTAAAATGTGTAAGTAAGAGGTTATTTCCATGTTTAATTTGAAAAGCCATTTTACTTAATAAACCGAACTAAGCGGTTATTGTACATGGTGGTTTTTCGATGACCCCTCCACAGTTCAATATCATCATTTGATCCCTACTGGACCAACGTACGGCGTCCCAAAATGGGAGATTTTAGACAATTCAACCTACTTAAATGTTGTAAGTAAGCGGTTATTGTACATGTTGGTTTTCCGAGCACCCCCTGTAGATCCCAGCCCTATCATCTACCTGATACTATATCGTCACTATGTTGTCGCTCTGTTACGACCTAAACTCATGTTAGACTTTCAGCTTGTATCAAATACACGTTTCTTTGACCATTCAGCTTACTAAAAATCCTCATATAGGTTACGACTGTACATAAAGGCTAAAATTTCCTACATGCATGACCAGGCCGCACTGTAGCAAGTATGATGACCAGAACAAGCACTTCTGGCATAGGCGGTGCATTTCTAACAATAGTATCCTAGCCCTAGTAGTTTAAACTTTAGGAAACAACCAGGGCAAGCATTGATGTGCTCCGAGCCGATGTCGGAACGGATAAAAGTCGTTAATCGAGATTCCACTGTAATAAATTAAAGCGGACCCAATGCCAATAAACGCATAGGTTAGAACTATAAAAAAGGTCTGTGCTGGATAAAAGATGAGGAACAACGGGTGGAACACTCACTTTTGACTGGAAGGTACTTGGTAAGAAGGGCCTGGGTTCGTCGGATGATACAGCGGCTCACAATACCGAGCAACTACAGAGAAAAATGAAAATAACCTAGAATATTCCCATTACAAAGCTCTTAATTCAAATTGACAATGGCCTACGACGGTCAACATTTTTGACCAGCATGCTGATTAAAATTATAAAAATTATACGGAGAGTTTTGTGTAAAAGAGTATGAAAAACCACTCAAACCTACAAAATATAGAATAATGTACAGTAGGTGGCCAAACTCATGCAATCCTACGATTTTTACAAGTAAC